ACACAATACACAGAATGACAAACGGCAGAGGACACAAGAAAGCAATTTCTATTCAACTATGAATTGAAGGCGCAGAATGGTGTTGAAAAAATACAGTTACAGCACACTGAAAGGTACGCTTGACTTTAACAAATGTGTGACTAAACCTACAGTATTAAACTTTACTGTGAAGGTACGAAGTCCTTTGTACTCCCTGCTCTACTGAAGGATTTTTTGTGTGTGAATGGTGTAGCAACATGGCAGTGCCTCAGGGACAAAGGGAGTATTTATCAAGCATGAATCCTAAATCCAGTTCAAATAAACTTGACAACCCTCGCTGTGTGTGTTCTATATTTGTCTTCAACTTCAGCAAATGTTTTGCAACCCAACTCAACTTTAGCTTGACAAACTTTAACATCACATGACGTACCTATCATCCAAACGATGATACATTAGATTAAAATGGAGGTTTAAATATTTAATCAGCAAATGTATCTCTTGAATTTGGTTCACGTCTGCTAATAATGGGCTCATCAAATTCGCGGACTGCAACTATTTTTGTCCCCATTCATTATATTCAGGCACTGCCTCATTTGAAATACTGTGAAGTGAGAAATCAATGTAATCTGCGATGTATCTCTGAGATTCATGGCATTGTTGGAATTAAAAGAACCGTCAGAGAGAGTCTTTTCAGAAATAGTCATTACCATCTGTGAACCAGTTTTGAATACTGACAGATAGTGATTAAACGAAGGTAGAGTGACTTCATGGTAATGGATATTGTGATTGTTTGGCAAAAGAAAGGTATTGTGTTGCTCACATTGTTGCACTAGACTAGAACATACCAATAATGATCAGAACAAGTGAGGAAATGTTATTAATGATCAAGAACTAAGAATCCTAATGATTGAAAAACCTCATGTGAAGTGGCACTACACATGCCTCTCCAGGTGTGCATCTCTCATCTCAAGTAATTGAGTCAACGTGAGTATCTTTATTAAAAATCAATTCACACATACTGTGCTTTCATCGCTGCTGGATGAACCATATCCCCAGGTCTGGTGGAGGTCAGACGGATAGCATGCTTGTGTGTGTCAAATTCTGAAAAATCTTGAAAATGAGCAGAATAAGGGGGATTTTTGAGCTGATGTTTTATGCACAACAAGTGTACCTATTTATTCATCATGTTGCAAAAATGCACCTAGGGATGCTATTCTACTACTGTTTTCATTCCGTTGCATGCAAAGTTTTTATGTGTTAAGTATACAAACTGCTGTAAACTACAACTGTAATTGGTTGTGTATCCGTGTGTTGCATATTTGGTTAGTGTTGAAGGGGAGACTGTGGCTCTGGGGATAGTGTGCTGGACTTCGAATCAGGGGGTAGCAAGTACGAGTCCCACTGCAGTCAGCATGTCGTTGTGTCCCTGGGCAAGACACTTCACCCCAAATTGCTCCTGTGGGGATTGTCCACAGTACTGAATGTATGTAAGTCGCTTTGGCTAAAAGCGTCTAACAAATGACATGTAATGTTGAAACCATGATTTTAGCTGGTAAGAGTGAGTGTGCCAGAAAAATGTGTTACCTAAAATAACAGAAACTCCAAGCCTCAGGATACGATAACTTTAGGTTTTCAAAGCTAGCAAAATATTGTATACAAACTGTAGCTGTAGCACATTTAACAAGGAGGAACATTTTCCAACATCATGCCTAAATTACTGAAATAAGGAGAAGATGGCTGTGCTATAAGTTTACTGAAATGTTCTATTACATATAATTCTGTACGACCCATGAATTAAATAATGTGCACATAAGCCACATGTTATCTTAACATGCCTTTCTATTCATGGAAGTCATTGATTTTTAGTTTGGCAATTGAATTCTAACATATTCTTTCCAAAAAACCACAATAATAGATTCTGAGCAGTTTTGTGAAGATAACAAAGGTCATGTGGCATAACATAGACATTAAATGTGTGACCTATGACTCCAATTATGGTTTATTTTCACTTGAATTTCTGCTCAGCATTGATGAAAACTCAGGCGCTCTCTCTTTCAGCTGGTACATTTCCGAGACAGATAAAACATTTCAATTTGACTGAAATAATGTGTCTGTCAAAGAGCACAGACCGTCTGCTCCTTTGTACTGAAAAGTAATTCCCCTCATTCTAACATTAATTATGTCCGCCTTATGTCTGCCAACACAAGGAGATTGATGGCTGAGGGAGGAAATAAAATCACGCAGAACCACAGTCCGATGAAAACCTAAATATAGATTCAAAGGACGGCACGTACACGTCTGTCATCTCAAATCATGTGAGTGTGTAATCATTTTTCATTGACAAAATGAGTGGGTGGGAATATGGAAGAATGACATTCATTTGATATACAGGCTGGCAAATCTATACCTGTGTATTTCTGATGAGTGATATACATAGAAGCACAAGGCATAATCATGCTGACCCTAATGCCTGTGGGCCAGATTTGTTTTGATCTTGTGAGTCGTAAAGAATATCAAAACAGTGCGGAAAGAAAAGACTGTTGAGTACAACACATAACACTGAGCGTTGGAGGTTTTGGTGGTTGCTATATTTTTAATAGAGGGGCCCTATTATGCTAATTTGTTGGTTCGTATTTGTATTTTTTGCCTCTATTGTGACGTGTTTACATACTTTAATGTTCAGAAAGTGCTTTATTTTTCTCATGCTGCCAACACAAGCGCGAGTGTTACATAGTGATGTCACTTACAAAAGTAAACAGGTGATAGTTTTTGCCCACTTAAAGTAACAGTTAAAAAAAAAAGAGTGATAAGACTTGATCAGGAGTGACAGAAGAAAACATAAAGAGAAAACGACAACATATTATTTTAAACCATTTGCATATTGACATCCAACAGACATGCATTACATGATTTCGGATAAATGAGGTTTGCATAGTTGGTTACCCCTTGCTGCCATCTGGAGCTGCCAGTGTGAGAAGTTGCCTGGTGCAGCTTTAATTTACAAATTCCTTTGAGTAGTGAAACATCTGACCTGAGAACAGTGTATGCTAGTAGCTGTCCAGATGGCGATGCACTTTACGTCATTTCCTTTTTTGTTATGAAGACTCCTAATGAACAGCTGCAAAGTAAAAAGGTGTTGCATGAAACCATATGGGGAACTTGTGAAGTATTCTACTCTCTTTGTTCAGAACAAGAAGTGTGAAGGATCCACACAATGTCAGTGAGGATAAGAGTGATAGGTTATATATAATAAAGATGCCGGCCTAGATAACAGCATCTTATTAAATGTTGCATGTCAAAATGAGAAAGAGGAGCATAAAAGACGTCCATCACCCCAACAACAGGCTCTTCTCTCTGCTGCTGCCTCAAGGCCGAAACAGAGAGGATGAAGACAAGTCCCCCCCCTCAGGCCGTCCAACCACCAACTTTCACATCCATAACTCACTATATATCATTTATAACTCATTACATTCTGGAAAGGATCCAAATCACTTGGCAGGTACACAAATGACACACAGTGAGATTGGGCTTTTTGCCTTGGTACTCTTCTAGTTTCATGTGTTGTATGTCTGTATGTGAAAGCTTTGTTCTTTCCATTTTGGAACTAATTAGGTTTTCATTGGTTTATCGTTTAATTTCATCTACATTTAATTTAGTTATTTGGTTTATAAAACTATTTCTTATTTGCTTTCTGGAGCTAGGCACAGACAGACGTCACTGTACATTGTATGATTGTGTATGTGACAAATAAACATTATCAATTTTATTTAAGAAATATTAGAACCCCTCAAGCGGCTATAATCTAGCTAGCACAACAATTATCCAACGATAATAAATATTGTTAAGAAAATGTAATTATTGCCATTAACAGACAGCCAAATTTCTCTCATTTTCAAACTCCAGTATAGTATTTGGCAGTATGCACCTTTAAAGTTGGTTTGAAAACGTTCAATAAGCATAGAAAAGAAGATATCTGTGTCAAAGTTTCACAGGAATATCAACACTTGAGATGTTCCATAATGTTGGTCTGTGTAAAAAGAAACCTGTCAAAATAATGTTCTGATAATATGTTGGGGTTCTATGTTATCTGGTACAAAAGACTGTGTTGTTATATACAGATTTTTCATGTTTATTTATACGTTAATTTAGTTCCCTGTTTTGCCCCTTATAAAGCTCCTGTCTGACTGCCAGTCCCGAGCAGATTGGTTTATCCTACTAGCCAGACTGGGAGTCTTACATAAGGTCGGGTCTGGAACCTATTTTGAGATAAATTGCAGGTAAGTGCTCAACTGTGCAGGTGGCAAAACTGCAAATAAGCAGGACAAATGTCTCCCCATAGTGTTAAAAAAGTTTTAATAACTTGTTGTCTTTTGCTTTGCGTGCTGCAAATAGTTATATGGTGAAAAAAGGTGTGCATTGAGATGCAGAGAGATGTTGATTATATATTTAAAGTATGGACCAATGTACACTGGATATTTGGATAGCTCTCCTACAAACTTACCGTGAAACTATATGACCTGCATAGTTTTTGTTATATAATTGTGTCTTCCACTAATTGGACAACTGGGAACAACAGCTCGATTGCTCTGAGCATACAGATATCACGAGCTTTCAGAAGTAACGCGTGCTGTTCATGGTTTCCTTCTAGCATTTAATTAAGAAATTGCACAATATGTTACATAACAATATGCCAGAGAGAATTTAGGAACATAAACATATGTTTCAACAATAGAAATTGGCCTTACATAATATGTTATATAATGTAACATTTACTGTATTTACATATAATTCAATATATTTATGAACAGTATGTGTATATATGTGTAAAATAAATCTGGAATACAGCCATCTGTGTTTTGTGAACACTGAGATGTTTTTGTGTGCCTCCTTGTGGAGCACGTCAGCACTGGAGGAGGCTCCAGAGGGCTGGGTCAGAGGGAGTGTAGCAGGGAGAGGAGCGCACTATAAGAAGAGGATGAACCCGGGGGAGCGTCATTTAGACCACAGCCGAGAGAGGAGGAGAGGAGAGAGGGAGACAGTCAGAGGCGAGGTGAGGGACCCAGAGAACAGATACGCGCAAGAAGGCAAAGCGTTCAGGATTGAACACTTAAATCGCGGTGATTTCTTTTTTTCTACAAGGACTGCAAAGGTGTATTCCTGTCCTAACCCAGCGTCATCACACTGTGAGGAAAGGTAAAAGTGAGGTTTTACGTTGCACTCCTCTCTCACCCGGCGCGTCTCGGTGTGCTGGATGAGCGCAAAGTGTGAGCTTCAGGACCCGAGGAGAGGACAGATCCGCTCCGTGTCCTCCTGTCCAGGAACTCCGCTGAAGCTTTTTACATCTCAACTATTCCAGTCTGACTCTCTGCTTCACAAGTCTGGAAGAAGTCTGGAAGAAGTCTGAAGCATCCGCTGACGGAGAGATCCGCAACCGACTGTGTGCTCAATATGTACCAGGGGCATTTACAGGTAAGTCTGCCTCTTTGTGCCTGTTCACTTCCCATGACAACACACAGTTGTGATGGAACAAATGAAATGATGTGGAAAAACAAGTTTATAGAATGAGACAATCACGGTTAGTCCACAGCAAGTAGAGATGTCTGAACAAAATTATCTGTACGTGACAACAGAGACATCTATGGTGTTTCCAAGAATAAGCATGACATGCTAATTTGTACCTGTTAAGTGGGGGACGCTTGCTCGGAAAACAGCACACATTGCTTACATTGACAAACCGAGGAACTAAAAACGCGCGTAAAGTCAGCTAGAGCCAGCATTGGCAAAAGTCATTGATAAAAAACAGAGCTGTAGCGCGACTATTGCACGTGCATGTGCATGACACATGTAAACAGGAGGTAAATATACCGGTTTAAACGTTGCAGCTTTGACACAAGGGGCAACCAATCATTACGTTTTTTGACGTACATGCTTATGCTCACGTGACGTCATGCAACCTGACGTTCATTTTGGTACAGCAGACACTTACAATATATTTAATGTCACATGTGATTAAAACTGAGCTCCACACCAAACAAGACAAGAAAGCACACAATGTTCAAAACATGGAAAGTTGCCTATCTTCCAGACCTACCTAGCTTCCATCACTGATTTAGGCTAAAATGTTCATAACTTTAATTGAAAACAATGGGCTCACAGTGCAAAACATAAAACTTCCTTAGTTGTTAATGATAGCCTCTTCTCTTAGATGTATGAATTGTTGGTTGACTTCAGCTCACAGACAGTTGATTATGTAATAAAAGACCTCTCCTGAGTCAGTACTCTGGAGCATTAAAGACCAACATTTAATATTTCATGGTATATTACTCAAGCAGCAGCATTCATTGAAAATACATGAAAAGGCGGTCGGCAGCTCTAGTCTGGGCTACCCCACTTATGTTTGGTAAAGGTCAATGAAAAGTCTGTGATACCAAGTAATGATATGCAAAATACACATCAAATAAACACGTGTTTATCTTTTTATCACAATCTTACACGTTTCATCTCATTATGTTTCAATAATCGCACACTTTATATGTTGTTCATCCCATGCATGCAAGTCATTACACTGTGCCTGGTTTAGATCGTAACTGAAATTAGATACTGCCCTTCCTGACCTTTATACAGGTATAATTAAGCAGCAAATGTCCAGTTAATGCACATAGATGCTATATCTTTCGGTAATGTATCTTTTGACACGACACTCACTTGCATAATCGATGCATTCATCTTGAAGTTGACAACACTTTCTCCTTGAAGTCAAATGTACATGTGCAAAGAGTATGAAATCAGACCTACGAGAATGTGCGATTAATACAACTTTGTCACAGAGATATTATAAATAAGTTATTGCTTATATGGGAAATGGGTGGAGTCTGTTATATAATGACAGCTGCGGAAACATTTGCACAACTTAAAACGTTCTAATCAACATGAAACTGTTTTTTTATAAAAGTAAATGTCTTGAAAAGACATTCGTTCTGCAAAATCTCTTGTTTGTGCAAAAGTTGTAGTTAAAAACAAAAAATTAATTTAGGCCAGGCTGCACACTTTCAGAACAAGGGGATCTTTTAAAGAGGGACCGATTTTAAAGTGATGTTTTTTATATCTTGCATGCAATTTATTTAAGTCACAGTAAACATTGTTTGAAATCATAGCGTACATGATGTTCTATACACCCTATACAAATCTTTACATATTTTACAGTGAGGATCTGTGAATGAAGGCTTGGGGCATAAATCATGGAGAGTTTTGGGACATAGCTTGGAATTGTTAATGAAGCTCAGACTGTAAACAGTTACTTATGTAACAGAGATGCAGCATCAGTCACTCAAGCTATCAGATTTCCTTCCCTAAAGTACTGTAGATACACTTGTAAGTATATATTTTTTATTACACGACTGTCAGTCAGCAAGATTTGTCAGCGTATTGCAGCTCAGGAAGCAGTCTGCTGTGAGAACAAGATAAGGATGTCTTATCTCTTTTTGTCAGAGTATTTTTAATTTGTTGACCTGCTCATGTCCCTCTTACCTGGTGTACTATATATGTATATGTGTGGCTTTAGGTGTTTAATCCATGGAGGGTAAGATATATCCATAAACACTCTGACATGTTCGCATATTTGCTGCAGATCTGCACACAAAGAGACAATATTGGATGGATAAAATGTCTTGGCATGACCAAATCCAGCCCTCATGGTTGGCTGGTGAGGGAGGGGCTTCTGCATGGGCAATATCAGAGATTGGCAGTACAGCTTGGCCAAAGTATAACACTGGACTTGTGTCTTCAATTCCTTCTTTATGTCTTAAAAGTAAAGTATAACCAGCATCATATTGTGTAGTAGTAACCAAATGTGTTGTGCGTGAAACAAAGTGCTTCCATTTTTGTGAGCAGAGTATCACCTTACTGTATCAAGTGTTGGAAAAGATTGATGTAGTTAGCGCAAAGCAATTTAGGGGTGTGGATGTCAGCCTCATTGCTCTTCCTGTGAAGGTGCAACTGAAGACGCTGTGAGGCAAGCTGATTCAGCACGGCTGCTCATTTTCATCAAACAAAAAGCTACAGGACATATTGTTACAGTCAATGTGCCGTATATTTCCACTTTGATGTACTACATATAAGAAAGACCTTGAGTTTGTACCCATTCATACTCCCTCAGATGGCACTTTTCCATAACATTTTTGACAGTCTAGATTAATTGCTGTAGCAGTTTCCTTGCTTTGGCATTCATGTTTACAGTAAATAATTACTGGAGCGCTTGTATTGTTTGTATAAAACACATCCTGGATTAATGGAAATGATGTTCCAAGGCCTGTGGTTATTTGCTCAGTTAAGCATAACATGCTTACATAATTTGATTCCCAAGTTCCACATTCCCAGGGGAAGAAATTGGATGGATGCTATTGTTGATCAGAAGTAGATCAAGTCTCATAAGATCGTAGTCGTACTCACCATTTTTTCATTAAGATCCTGATTTATTGAGACGGTATCTGTTTATATTTTGTCCTCTAGAACTCTGGAGTAAATAGGCCACTGGTAATATATAAAATCTCTGAGTTGTCCAAAATTATTTGTTCTATTTGAATGTTCTGTTTTGGTGGTATGACTATGTGTGGTAATCAAGTGCATACTCATGTTGCTCCAAAGCCCTGATAGATTCTGAGTTCCCATTCCCCTCCTTACCTGAATTCATAAACATGCTTGATAATACAACATTAACACGTTGGAAATCAGCATAATTAGCTGCTTTATGAAATGCAAACTAACATGTTCCAAATCCTAATGATTAAAAAAATTCCAATTAATGCAAAAATAAAAACAAGTTATGAGGAAAGTGTATTGAATAGATGCAAATGCAGCATAATCAACTACAGATTAATTAAAGAGAGTGCAAAGCAATCAACCAATTGATAGACGAATCAACAGGACTCACACCACAACACTAGTAGGAGACTATGCAAGCATGCAGCTCACATCACAAAACATGCATTCATCAATCATTTGCACAGTCTATCAGGCCATCGTTCGTCCTCTGGGTTGAGTCCGTTAAATCTCCACTGTTGCACTAAGAGGCTTTCCTCCAGACTTTTCTCCACAGCCGTGGTGTTCAGCTACAGGAAGGACAAAGGGGTCCCAAATTCTTTTTCCACAGAGACCGTTTCCAAGTCTCCTCGATTTAATGAACCATGGTCTATGATTAAGAGCGATTTAATAGGCCTGACTATTTCAAGAGCCAGGATAATGAGTGAAATCAGGTGGTATCCGGCTGGAACGAAGGCTCCACAGACAGTGCTGCTCTCCTTGTTTGAGGTGTAGTTGGTAGGGAAACCAACTACATGTCTACAAGAACTATAGTTGAGGGAAAAGCTGATCGATTACTCAATGAATATAAATCACAACAAAAATGTTAACTAGATAAAGATATATTTATATACACCAAATGATAATTTGTTGGAGGATCGGATTAAAAAGAAAGCCATTGTTGAGCTTTAAAGTTGCTCTGAAAGGTGTTTGTGGAGTTAGACGTAGCGGAATTCATTTATTGTTTTTCATCACATTGGCATACTTGGATTTAATGCCCAACAAAATGTCAAAATGGGTCAAAATGGGTTTTTACCTGTCTTACCTCAAACAGGAACAAAATCTTACTTTAAATATTCTAGATGCTCAAACATACCAAAATGTCATGTCCATTTAATGCTCACATAATACTGTCATGCTAGAGGAATATAATAGGGAGGTTATAAATGTACATGCTCAAAACACATTGTCTTAGTTTGCACTTGTGCCACACTATTTTGTACAATTACATTGAAATATTGTTATTAAAGTTTTGAGGATTTCAAATAACCTTACTCCAAATGCTTACGTTTGACTTTGCACATTGACTTTGAGAGCGTCCTTCATTTCCGATGGAGAGGGCGGTGTGCATCACAGTGATTCTGACATATTTCTGGCAGGTTTGAAGCTAAAGGTCAGCTTTGACCCCAAATATGTTGACCTTTCAATGATTGTCCAATGGGCTTTGGGTATCACCAGGGGGCAGGAGTTGTACTGCAGAGAAGAGTGCTGGCCAGGGTTATTAGTGCCTTTTTTTAATGAAGTTATACCCTTCTGATTACACCAGAAAACCTTCGAGCACAGCAGAAAGCTTAATGGAATCGCAGGTTAGAAAATCATTATTTTAAATCATAATTGTCATTACATTTGAGTTGTAATCCCTAGCATCTTGTCTGCTTCAGAAAGTGATGTGTTTGACATATTGCAAGCTCACTATACTGTATGTCTCTTCGCTCAAAAATAAAGAAACATCAGTGAAACGACACAGTAAGGTTTGCTGAAGAGACCAAATAAACAACCCAAAGGATTTGCATTTTGCAAGGTGGCTGGCATCCAGTCATCAGTAACTCGGGCCAGTGAGGGGGGTGTGGGGGGGGCATGATGGCTGTCCTCTCCCTGGATGGGTAGTTGTT